AACTGCACACTTTCCTTAGGTTGGATAGCTGCTGCCCGATTGGAGGAAGTGACAGGCCGCATGCAAGCTGCACGAAACACAATCATGAAAGGGACAGAAGTTTGCTCAAAGAACGAAGATGTGTGGCTTGAGGCTATTCGTCTGCAGGTTTGTTTCTCTTTCCAAGTTTCAAGTTTCTACTCTTTGAAAGATTAGGAAAAAGTTGAACAAAGGACCTCCCGACCCTACCAAAAGTACATTATCGTAGTATGGTCTTGTGTTTTGTGAGATAAGGATATTTTCTCGCGAGAATCACTGAAAGTGCACATTTGAAAGAAATCCTGAACAACGACGGATGGCATAAGAGCATAGACTTGCGGCCAAATAACGTAGTTGGTAAAGGGCTTTTGTTTTGTAATGTTCTGCAGCATGTGTTTAGGAGGCCAAGGTAGAAAATTTGGGGAAGTTCTTGTCCTGATTATTTGTTACTACGTGCTAGCCTTTTTGAAACCCTATCTTGGTCTTGAAGAATCTATTCTTGATCTCATTTCATCTTACCTTGTTGCAAAACATTTTAACACTTGTGCAGCTTCTTGTCGAACAGCAGAGGGGAACAATCCCTTTTTAAACCACGATATATGTTTTGATTGGTGTGATAGTCCGAAAGAAAAATTGTGTAGATGTTAGCATTCGAGCTTCATTTGTTATAAGAGGACCAGTGGTGATTAAATTGAATCAAGATTGAAAAAAAAATGTAGGAAGATGTTTTGACAATTTTAGGCCATCTTGACCCGATGAAAAATGTAAGTTACTTAAATATATTATTGTATATTATTAAAGCACTAATGTCAGACAGGAGATGTAGATGCGCTTGAATCGAATAATCTCTTAATCTCCTCTTCGTAGCCCCCCGAGACAGCCAAATCCGTTTGCGCTCAAGCAGTTGGTCAGCTTCCTCAATCTGTCCGATTGTGGATCAAGGCTGCTGCTCTTGAAGATGAGACTAAAGCAATGAAGAGAGTGTACAGAAAAGGTAAGAGAAGGAAATGATCCCATCTGCAGGTAAATTCCCTTTGCCGTATTTGCTAACAGTAACTGCTTTCGAGACGCATCACGCGCGTTTGTCTTAAAAAAAAAAACAAAAACAACAATACAACAACAAAATAAATTAATGTGAGACAAAAACCGCCCTTTACATCGGGAGTGAGTTAGTCGTGAGACAAACGTTATTTTGTTAACTCACAATGAATAACCACGGTCTATTTGTTTTTTGTCGGTGTTTCTTGTAGCTTTGGAGCAGATTCCAAACTCGGTTAGGATTTGGAAAGCTGCTGTTGAGTTAGAAGGACCTGAGGATGCGCAGATTATGTTAAGCAGAGCAGTAGAATGCTGTCCCACAAGTGTAGAGGTAAAGGTCTTCCTTATTTCTCAAGGCGTTACCAATTAATTATCTATTCCGGTCACCCTAGAGGACAAAGAAAAGCATTAAAAGAGAACTGAAAGTAACAATGAGTAACCGACTGAAAGCGCGGGAAAACGCGGTTTGCTAAGCCGCGTTGGGTTTTAAATTTGTTTCTGATTGGTTGAGAGGATGGGGCGCATATTTTTTGCCAATCGCAGTAGCAATGTAAAGCAAAACCAGTGAACCTCACAAAGTAAAACTTTTATTCTTGGCCGAAGGCTGCAGGAATGCAAATACAAGGTGGTCATCGGATAATTGTCCGTTTAAATTCAGGGGTTGGTTGTTCGAAAGGCGGCCAGCTTTGTCCAAGAGTAATATCCGTCTCTGTTTTTCGCGTGAGGCAGTTTGACAGAGTGTTTTTGATCGACCAAATTGGTAACTTATCACGTCCAATCTAGTCCCTGTCCCAGAAAATGTGAACTGTCAAAAGTTATTTGTAGGTTTGCTGACCCCGTCCGTCTCTCTAATCATAATTTCACGAGAATACTGGAAACAACTCATTTGTGTCTGTTTTCTTCATAGCTTTGGCTCGCGCTCGCGCGACTGGAGACTTATGAAAATGCAAGGAAGGTAGGCAACACTCAGTGTTTAAAGAAAATTTAATTTATTTCAATGCAGCTGTAAAGCTGAGCATTGTATTTCTTACACCTTGTGTTATATATGTTTATGTAGGTTTTGAACAAAGCTCGAGAGAATATCCCAACTGACAGGCAGATTTGGATAACTGCGGCCAAACTGGAAGAAGCTAACAGCAATCTTCCTATGGTGGAGAAAATCATTGACAGAGGTACAAACCGACATATAAATACGTATTTTCCAATTGGTAATTAATTCAAGAAACGAACTGATTTTTGCTGTGAACTTTCTCAGGACAGCTCTTTTTTCCGGGTCGGAATTGTTTGCTACGTTTTCCGTTGAAATTTTGGGCGCGAACTGGACGCGTGGCTGGCCGAAATTTATCCCCTTGCGCACGCCTGATGTTCATTTGACCGCTGCGTTGAGGAGAGGCAGCACTCTTAGTTACTTCATGCCACGAAAACCGAAATATGCTTCAGTGGTTAGAGCCTCCTGGCTTGTGCGTAAGACCTCGCCTTACCTCGTTACGTTGTCAATCCCCTGTGAGTTGTTCAGTTTCACATGCGCATTCTTTGTTTCTCTTCAGCTGTAACGTCATTGAAAGCTAATGGCGTGGAAATTAACAGGGATTTGTGGATAAAAGATGCGGAGGAAAGTGAGAAAGCAGGCAGCGTGGTCACATGTCGAGCCATTATGTAAGTAATAACTTTTGAGGAGTTGAAGCGGTTCGCGATCGAGTGTTGCAAAGTTGACACCAAACTAACCACATAAGCTAATAGGAGCGAAGGAAAATATCGCAAGTGGTCATGAGAAATCCAAGTAAAAACAAGCAAACTACCAGGAAATGTGCGGGAAAACGTTAGTGGCTAAGTTTCGATCGTTTTAAGTTTACCATCTGATTGGCTCAGAAGCTGAAGCGTGTTTTCTCGGCCAATCAAACCATTGCAATGCGGGTTACTTATGACACTCATTCGAGAAATGTTCTTCGTTGAGAGGAGTGCAACTAAAAAACATAAGCGTTTAATGTATATGTTTGTCGCTCTAAATCCAATAATTTTGTTTTCAGAGATACTGTTATAGGTATTGGTGTTGAAGAGGAAGACAGAAAGCACACTTGGATGGAGGACGCAAATAGTGTAAGTACAAAATCAAATCAGCACATTTTATATCAAATAATTATCCGCACTTTTCTTTTGTTGGAGACGTGCTACCCTAGTGGTAAGCAGGTTTAAATCTAGCCGTCGTCAATTAATTTTTTCACTCAGTCAGGAGATTGAATGTCCGCGAAACTGGGGATGGACTTTCACGGACCAACAGTCGTTCTAGGCAGTACTACAAGTCACTCCACTCTACTGAAACCACAATAAACTCGCGCAGCTATGCAAATCTGTTTAGTAGCCGGAGTTGATATTTTTCACAAATCTGCTGATGAACTTTTTCTCTATCATTAGCCAATTTTGAGAGGCTGTCTTTTATTTTCTATTTTTTCGTAGTGTATCGCCAATAATGCGTTTGAATGTGCAAGAGCCATCTATGCGCATGCTCTGTCCGTGTTCCCCAGTAAAAAGAGCGTTTGGCTGAGAGCTGCACACTTCGAAAAGAATCATGGGACGAGGTAAGTGATTCGTAACCTGTGATCAAAGGCACGTTTCTCAAAAGACCCTGTAACTTTACAAGCCCGTCAGCTGACTTTTGTTTGCCGTGTTTCACTGATTCGAGATTGAGTTATTGACAGCTTTGAAAGAGGAATAACAAGATTATCAGGAAACGAGAAAGAAGGATGACCCTGTTTTAAAATCGTGTTTCTTTGAGCCCGTGAATCTACGAAGACTCGGGCCCCAGGTCGATGATTCTCCTTACAGCTTTCCATACCGAAAAGTGGAGAGTAAAGAAGAATGCAACCAGCATTAGACTCGTGCTCCATGTTAGTCACGAGGATCTCGTTTTAGTTACGTACGGGGTTTCGTCTTGACAACTTCTTTAATTGGGAGAGGTCTTGATTCAGGTTGTTCATTTGTGAACGGAGCAAAACTAATAATAATAATTAGTATAGTATTAATGATTATCATAACAGTAATGATAACGATATTGAATAAAATTGTCTGCGTTATTCCTTGCAAGTCTAGTTCATGTCATAGTATCTTTCGACTCAGTTATTGCTTGTAAAACATTCTTTAATATTTTCCCCCCCGTTTAAATCAATTAAATGTTCTTATGCAGGGAATCTTTAGAGGCTTTGTTACAGAATGCTGTCAAGCATTGCCCCAAAGCAGAGATACTGTGGCTCATGGGCGCTAAGTCCAAGTGGATGGCTGTAAGTTGAGCTCGATTTTTAAAAGGCCATTTATCTGGAAGAAGCTTAATGTGTTCCTTTTTTAAATAGATTTGTTAAATCAATTTTTCACGAACCCGGAACAAAGCGAGAAGAGCACGTAAGTTGAACGCGCAAAGTGAGCGTGCGAGGATAGCGCAAGGATTGCGACCGTAAAGAGTGCGCGTGTCTCGCCCCTCGCGCGTCTTCTCGTAGGCTAGGATGTAGGATGTAGGATAAATGTTTGATGATACCTAGATACCGTACCCTGCAGCTTCACCACTCACACACCCCGCATACTATTATTAACAGTTCTTTCGATTTTACATTATTTCCTAGGGTGAGATCAATCAAGCTCGTTCAATCTTGGCGTTAGCTTTCCAAGCCAATCCGAATAGCGAGGAGATTTGGTTGGCGGCCGTCAAACTGGAGAGTGAAAATAATGAAGATCAGAGAGCCAGGTCAGCCGTAGATTCACTATTTAGGAGCAATTTTGAATCGAGTGTCGAAAATATTTGGGGAATGCTTACATTTTCCTTTACTTGCCTATGTGATTGGTATAAAAGTCTCGCTCCATCCTCTCAACCAATCAGATCCAGAGCTAAAACGAATCAAAATTTTGACACATGTTTTCTGCTCTTTCATTGGCTCCTGTGGTGTTTTCCTTTCTTGTTGCTTGGCTATCGTTATTACGTTATGTAGGTATCACGAAACTCCCTCGAAATGAGCTTTATTTTGTCAGATAGTAGAGAGAAATGTTAAAAGATATTAATCAGCCTGCTATTTGGTCGAAAACTTGCTTTCTTATTCGCTTTTGCAGGAAACTTCTTCAGCGAGCAAGACTTAACGCTTGTACACCAAGGGTAAGTTTACAAAAGAAAATTAAACACAAGTAAGACAGAGACTATGTACTTGGTGCGCCGGAAAATGTGTTTTAAAATGCAAGAGTCTTGTGTAGAGATGGTACATTTTGAAATCGATCGTAAGATAAAGAGGGGAAGGCAACAAATTTTCAAGAGGATTTGACATGGTAAAAATATGAGCTCCCGCTTAATGATTTGGCGTCTGGATGCTCTTCCAACTGAGCTTCAAAAATTCGTTTTCTACCCTGTAAACGGCCTTTGAGATAGGCCAGTAAAAGTTCCGGACCAATATCAGTATCTAGGCAACTGCCCACCTACCCCTCCCCTAACTCAACAACAGTCAATTGATAACAAGTTAGGGTTAATGTTGGGTTAGGGGAGGGGTAGGTGGGCAGTTGCCAAGATACTGATATTGATCCAAAGTTCCAAAGTGACAACCGTTCTGAGACTACTCAGTAAAGATGAAAGCTCCCTGTGTGGAGAAAAGAAGGAATTTTAGAAGAGCGACTTTTAGGATAGATCCAAGTTTCAATTAAAATATATTAACAATGGACAATTTTTGTGACATTGTAATAGATGGAGATTTTTCTCCTTGTTTTTTTTTTGCAGGTCATGATGAAATCCATCAAGCTGGAATGGGTGCTGAGGAGTCTTTCTGAGGTAAACAAATCAAATTCTTCAGTCATGCTGAATTGATCTCAGCTTTTCAATTATTTTATTTACTGTCATCACTTTTTCCTTCATTTTATTTATTAGGCGGAAAAACTCTTAGGCGAGGCTGTTCAAAATTATCCAGATTTTGCAAAGGTAGGAGCCACCGTCAAGGTTAATTTGCTTATTCTATTGGACCTATAGCCAAAATTTTAGAGACCGTTACTGTTCATCAGAAATGAAGTTTTTAGTTTTAATTTTGTAGTGGTTTCTGTAAGATTTGGTTGGCAGTTGCTGAGGTTTGAATGAAAGCCGGTTGCCGTCGGTCTACCGTATACCTCCTATAAGACCTCTCCTGCACCCAGGTCCTCTGGACAGAAGGGTCACAGCCGCACATTACACCATCGGCAACCGCTGATGGAAAGAGTTATTGAAACCCCTGAGATGTAGTAGTCGTATCTTAATGTGTGCGAAGTTTAAACCCACGAAAATGTCACGGAAACAAAAGGACAAACAAACAAACAGCAATGCAAAAAATCATGTGACTCACTGGGCGAAGTGCGGCAAAATTTTTGGAATCAATTTGAAGTTGGGTTTGTCTTGTAGCGTTTCATGATTGGTTGAGTGTGCCGCGCGCCTTTTTTTTTTTGTAACCAATCACAAGGCACATTGGGCTATCCAAGTCAGCATTACCCTCAACATTTGCCATAGCGCCGTTATCGTGTTATTGATGAAAGTCTTAGTTAACTGTCGTCGTCGTCGTCGTTGTTGTTTTTTCCTCTTTATAAATAAAGTTGTGGATGATGAAAGGACAAATACATGAAGAGTTGGATCAGTTGGATAATGCGAGAGAATCATACAAACTGGGGGTATGTCTTTAGTTTATCGCTCACGCCATGTTCTCTGTCCTTCTATTTTCAATGAAAAGATCATTGAAGGATACGGAATTAACACTTTACATCCTAACATCGGTATGGATATTCCCCATACTGTTTTCTATACATTTGCCAAGGTGCTGACAAGGAGAATTTGTTTATCAATCAAGAGAATATTTAGTTGGTGATCATTTCCTTTTTTCTTATGACCTCATTGTGTGATGCAGGGGTTATACTGTTGGGAGAAATTAGATGCTCGTCACTCACGGGTCAAAGGATTAAATAAATGTTTTTGGATCTTCGCAGACCAAGAAGTGTCCTCACTCCGTTCCAATCTGGCTATTGTTGGCTAAGCTTGAAGAAAATGCTGGTATGTAGGGATCATAATTTGGGTGCTGAAATATGAATGACATAGAGGAACTGTGATATAGATTTTCTTAAACTATATTTACTGAAATGGAGTGCAATGTATTATATCCTAGGGCACGCCACTAAAGCAAGATCAGTGTTGGAACAGGCGCGACAGAAAAATCCAAAGTGTGCAGAATTATGGTATGACTGCGTTCCCTTTTCATTATTTTTGGTGTGAGAGTTTTCAAGCCAGTGAATAGGGTATCTCCAGCTTTAAGAACCTTCGTTTCCAAATGAAGCCACGGACTAACACTTAGAATTAGAAAATTTGATTTATTTGGTGTAGGAAAAAGATGTTATAGTTGGTATGGGTGATTGGTTAAGTTAGCCGGTAAAAATCAACGATGAAAACAACGGTACTGCAGTTAACCGACTACAGTCGTTTTGTGTGTGTGTGTTTAAACATTGAGTCTCCATAAATCAAAGGAAAGTTTCTACAGGTCATTTAGTTCAAAATAAGTGGAATGCTGCTGAGCGTTTGGTGCGGTCAGATCCAAAAACAGAAGCAGATTTTAACACTGAAATCTGTACAGCTCTCAGTTACCTATTCGAGTTTATCCTTGTTTCGAAAGAGAGGCTTTGGACGGTTTGAAAATTACTCTTTTGAAGCAGTGGGGGCTTTAAAGACCTTCTCGCGAGGAGAATTACGAATCAAATTATGTCGTTCGAATTGAAGGAGTGCAATGGAATTCTCATTTTTTCTGTCGTTTCTTCCAGGCTCGAAGCAGTTCGAATCGAAACGAGAGGAGAACGAAGAGAATTTGCAAAAACCTTAATGGCCAAAGGTATTGTTGTTGAAGTGACATTAACAAGGGACATTAACGTTCTAATTTTTATAAAATTAATAAGATTACCTTATTTCATCAAATACCGAAATATTAGCACGTCTGTAGGTCAACTTCAAAATCAGTATTTTTTTCATATGATTTTCGAGTTCTCTGTTTTTGTTTTGTTTTTTTTTTCGGCGGTGTTATTGTAGATATTACGCTCTATGCTATGTTTCGATGTTCTTAAATTCGACTTCCCTAAAAAGAATAGAGAGAGAAATGTTTGGGAGCGTGTGTGGTCCACCTTCCCCTCGATCTAAGCTGATCACAAAACCCTCCATAACCTCTCTTTCAGCCATGCAAGAATGTCCCGCTTCAGGCATTCTCTGGGCGGAAGCAATTTTCATGGAGAACAGGCCACAGAGGAAGACTAAAAGTGTTGATGCTCTCAAGAGATGTGAACATGATTCACATGTGCTGCTTGCCGTGGCTAGGTATAAAAATACTTCTAACACCTTCTTGTTTTAGTATCTGGGCAAAACCACTGGCTTGTCTTCCATCTTCAGACGGCTTCTTTCCGCTCATTTTACCACAACTGATGGATAATCGCACAATTGTTTATATACCGTTGTAGAAATTTGTACCGCAGCCATTCCCTAGTTTTGAGCAGAATTGTATGCGTAATTTAGATGCAATCTGCTCAAAGGTTCGTGTCAACTTCACGGGACGTCAGGGACATTTTAACTGAACAGTTCTTAGTCTTGCGTGTAATCTGACGAACCAACATGGCGCCTTAAATGATCTGGACGCTTACTATTTCTTGTTTGCCCTTTACTTTCCAACTTATCGACAACCCTAGTATCCTCTGCTGTGTCTTAAATGTGCTTGATACTTCGTAGGTTGTTTTGGAGCGAAAGAAAAATTAATAAAGCAAGAGAGTGGTTCAACAGGTAAGAATTTGTTTCTTTTGCAAGTCGAAGTGTCCTTGGTCACATCTCTCCGAAGCGGCAACCGAAGTTGAAAATCGATCTTAAGGAGGAAATTTTCGTCTTGACGTGTTTAAAAACATTTTACG